ATATCTCAGCTTTCCTGATATCTGATACCTGGCATTTCTGTTAATCTGTTGATCTTTGACAATTAAGAAAAAGTTGATCTTCAAAAAAATTTCAATATTTTGTAAGATTTTGATATGTTTTATAGTGAAAGAAAAATTGGCCATTTTCATTATATGTTTTGCATTAAATTCAAGTATAAAATGCATATATACATCTATATGTATGTATATATACATTTGTTAATCAGAATCTGTGATTATGTAGAATTCCCCATTCTGTAACATCACAGAATATCGTTTTGTCCTTTAATGGTACAATCTGAAACTCCATAGTACCTTGTGACTCAAACAGGTGTGCGTGACCTAACAGTCTGGTTTAATGTGATATTGTAGAAAGGCTTAAGAATAACAGATCCAAAAGAAATTTTTTTTTCTGGGATATTTTATTTTGGTTGTGATTGTCTGCAAAGGAAGTAACCTAGCAAGCTTCTGCAAAACACACTAGGTACTAAATATTTTGTGTAATGGAGGAAAATGGCCACAGTAGTCACTGTTTTCCATCTAAGCTAATTTTGGTCTTCGGTTAACACCCAGTTTAGCATCTACCAAATACATGGTCCTGTTATATGTGCGCTAGCCAAACTGGGAATTAATTTTCAAATGAAAAGCACAAGGGCTAGTGACTAATATTAGTATATGAATTGTAGGTATCAGCTTTTAACCTTGTGGGTAATATTAGAAAATGAGTTTTCCTGGAGTCTGATAATTGAGTCCTTGCCAACAGCTTCCTAATCATCAGAACCAGCTTCAAAGGACAGGGTTTAGTTTATTTATTGTTTTTTTCATCATGAAACTACAAATTGGTATGACAGATTTTTGCTTTGTTCAAACAGATAGATTGTTGACTTATTCAAGGGACAAGGTAATTTGTTTTGCCCTTTAGCTGTTTGACGGCTTAGCCATAGTTTCCCATGTGATACCATAGCATTTGATGATTTTTCAGGGGTTGGACTGGTGTTCTGCAAGCACATCAGCCAGACAAACCATGTTAAGAGCACCGGGTGCAATTTGGTTTCTAAAATTAAAGTGTGGCCACTAATAAAGAATGAGTTGGAAATGAAAGAGGAATTCTGGAAATTCCCACAGAAAAAAATAAATAGAAGCAACCCTCACTGTTGAAAGGCCAACAGGGGAATGAAAATTGTTCTCACTGAACAGTTACATTTTTCAAAAGAAGGCACTTAGAAATTTTTTTATCTTGTTGTAGGTATTTTTGACCTATAGAAATAGGTATCTGTGTTGATTCTATACTTTCTTTGTGGTATAGACTACATCTGTTGTTTTTCGATGATTTGCTTGATTGTTGGTTTGATCTGATTGAGAGCACTGATGTACTAATGGATCATTCATGAACTTACCACAATATCAACAACTAAACATACAAACAAACAAACAAACAGATCAGCTTTTGGGAGTGGGGATGGTGGTGGATTTTATTCTATATAGCATTGACCTGAATATCTATCACTCTGTTTTTCCAGAAACATTAAGATTTTGGATATAGAACTTACAATACAGGAAACAAAATGTCTTTCTGAACAAACTGTGTAATCTATATATTAAAAATAAATTTTTGCTCTAGGCTGGTTAACAAAGAAAGGCACTGTCTTTTGAGAAATAATTATAATTTCCAGATTTCATCCTCTTGCCAATTGGAGGTCAAAACCACTTGAAAGATTATTGTTTTTCATTAATTATACCTACATTTCATAAAACTGCCCAATAAACCAATTGAAATAAATATAATGTATTATAGTGGATTCTGTCAAAAGATGGTTAAATATGTATATAGGATATTGGGAAAGCAGTTATTAGAACTGGAAAAATATAAATAATAATTAGCCTTATTATACAAATAAAAGGCTTATGACATTACCAAATTGTTCTGAAATCAGTGGTAGTTTAATTATTGTCACCTAAGCTTAGGTAGGGTTAATTAGCCAATGTAATGGTCTTTAGATCATCATGTGGTCTTTTATAACTATGGTCTCCATATAATGTATTAGCCAAATCAAGTTAATTTTGAGACTAAAAGAGGCCATTATTAATAATTATGTCGGGACATCAAGTATACATTGGGATTTCATCAGGCAAACATTTAAATCAGTTCTACTTTCTAGCTTCAACTCCTTCCTTTATGAAATGGAGATTGGGTCTTGTTCTAAAAACTGTCAAATGTGTCATCTGAATTTCCTCTCCTGTAAAAGAATGTAGGATAGTGGAAAGAGCATGGTTTTAGACTAAGAAAAAAAAATTAAAATAAATAAATAAATTGCTACTTACTACCCTGAAAATCAGTGACACTGTTGATATTTTAGAACCAAATTTGTTTGTGAGAAGTCAATTTTAATTATAAAATATGAAAATCCCATATGTAATTCCATAGTCAGTGACATGTGTTACTTGGGATGGGAAGCAGGTAGGCCTGGTGAAGTGCTGAGAGTCAAGCTGAGGTAATTACTGGACTAAAATAGGAAGAGGGAAATAGATAGACTTTTCTACCATTGGCTTGCTAGAACCAGAAAATATTAGAATGAAACCGTACAGCCCTACCTGTATCTCCTTCTTACATGTGATACATAGCATTTCTTCCCAAGCTTTCACCCAGATTATATTTTAGGATGAACTATATGGAGCATTTTTGAATTTGGCTTGAGTCCTGTTGTTTGGTGTCAACCACAGCAGTTGATCATGAATGGGTCAGTTGAGTTCCTAATGTCCTGTCTCCGCCATGACCTGCTTTTATCCCCAATAGCTTTCAACAGGGGGGCAGCAAGGAATATATTTAAATATGTTCATGTGAGGCTTATGTTAAACAATATACTTCTTTCCAAAATGTTGGTCAGGGTTCAAATTTTAAGTCAGCTTTGTAGTTATGATAGAATAGTCTCTTGTTTAGCAAATATGCACTCCCCTCCACTTCCTGTTGGGGGTGGAGTATACTTCCCTTTATTGTTTTTGGGCTCAGCCATGTGCCTTCTGTGGCCAGTGGGATATAGGTAGCCATAAAGTGAGCAAAGACTTGTGTGCTAGAGCTTGCTCTTTGCCATCACATGAGAAGAATTTCCTCTAGGTAGCTGTTTCCTCTTAAGCTTAAGCTCCCAAATGAATATCTATCTACATACGAGTATATCTATCAATCTGTATCTATCTATACCTATACCTATACCTATACCTATACCTGCATCTATATCATCTATATCTATATCTATACCTATATTTATATCTATAATCTATCTATATTTGTATCTATATCTAATCATCTATATCTATATTTATAATATCTATATTTGTATATCTAATCATCTATATCTATATCATGTATCATCTATCTCAGATATGAACCTAATCTGCTGAGGAGCCTAGCCCAGCGGGATCTGCAGACTGAAACAAAGCTGCTCAGTTGTGCCCAGACTAGATACTGGTAAGCCCATTTGTGACCAATGTACAGACTCGTGAGCATGAGAAGAAATACTTATTGTTATATTCTACTGAGATTGGGGATGGGTTGTTAATTAGCATTATTGAGTCAATAACTGATACAGTAGTGCCTTGGTATCACTTTAATTCTCATATTAAAAGACGCTTCTGGCACTTGGACTCCTGTTTTGATTTTTTGCAGCCTTTCTAAGAATGACAGGTGCTACTCAAGCTTCTGAATGCTCCCAGCGCCTCTCTGCAAATCATTCTTATATATACCAGTTAATATTGCCAAACAGCTCATCAAGTTCAAGTGTCATCTAATGCTCTTGACACTTAAAACCCAATCCTTATCTAAATTATCATTATTAATTCCTTTTCCCTGAAAGAGTAATTGAAAAATATTTGGAGGAAAACAAGGATTTATTAAGAGACCAGTGAATAAGCATCAAATAGGGGAATTAAAGGTTATCAAGGCTTTTGGCTTGAGATATCTTGAGGGGCCTGTTCAAAAGTAAGTTGGGAAAAGCTTCTAATCCCCTGGGACTCCCCTACTTGGGCACTGAACTAAACAGCTGCAAAGCTCTGAACAACTCACCCAAACCCTGTGTCTCACTGAGCTCGCCAGTGACATGAAGAGGTTGGACACAAAGCTCTTTGAGGATCCTCTGTTTTAAATATCTATGTTCATGTTTCCTCAAGTGTGGTCAAGTTTGTATGAAGTGTTTAGGTAAATTATCACCCCTGGGATTCCATTCCGGGCTCACTTCCTGGTAGCCTCTGTATGTGGCCCAAGGCCCACGCTATGAGAAATATTAATGTCCATGGAAGGAAGGAGTATAATGTAGATGTAATTTTCATCCAAAAACATTTTTTTAAAGCTCTTTCCTCTCTGTGGGCCATCAGAAGACATTACAAAGCAAAGGACTTGGTTTCTGCTCTCATGAAGCCTGCAGTGTAAGAGATGGGCTGCAGAAATTCCACTGCTGTTTGGAGAACATGCTACGAGAGATGCTGAGACCCTGTCTTTGGTTTATTCATTTAAGTTTAATTTTCATATATCTGACACAGAAACTTTTTTCTCATTCATTGTTGACTAATTCATTCACTCAACAACAAGCATTTCTTATGCACCTACTGTGTGCTTTCTTTGTTGGGGCAAGGAAGATGAATAAGAGATGGTTCCTATCATCCAAGAGCTTAGAATCTACTGGGAGAGATAGCTGCTGAAAGAAGAGAGACAGTCGTGGAGGTTTGCACGAGGGCCGTGGGAGGGACAGCTCTGATTGCATACCTGAGCAGGAGTCGAGTGTGCGGAGAGGTGATGTCAGGAACCAGTTCTCGGAGAAGGTGATGCCTAAGTTGAGTTTTGAGGAATGAGTAGGAGCAGCGTAAACAAGAGGAGCCAGGCTGGAGGGAATTTTTGCAGAAGGATCACCATGAGCAGAGGCCCTGAAACAAGAAGGTGCATAGTGGGTTTGGGAAACTGCTGTTTAATATGGCTGGAACTTACTGTACTGATAAGAGGTGGCTGATAAAGAGACAAGACAGGAGAGTAATCTGGAATGGGAGTAAGCCTGATACCAAAACTAAGAGAAACTGGTTTTAAAAAAAAAAATGGCGAACGCTTTTTTCTGTGGCTTGATACCTGCTTTTCTGTAGGCAGGTCTTATTCTCAGTATTTGCTCACTAGTACAGCTAGAAAAGCCACATGGCAAAGAGGCAAAGATAGGTTTGGGTTTGGTTTGTATTTCCGTGTTATCAAAAAAGAGTTGTAGGAGATTAAATGTGGATGATCATAAGGAAGAAATAAAGAGGAAGTAAAAACTAAAAGGCCATCAAAGGAAAAAGGAGGCCCTTCTGAAAAACACAAGGAAAGAATGTTCTCTTTGATAAAGGCATAAGATTTGTTTTTTAGTCTATTAAATAAATTGATAACTTTAATTAATAGAGAATATTGTGATCAGAGATTTCCCCAAAAGACATTCTACTTTGTGCATCATAATTTTATAGGATATGGTGTATTGCTATACATGGCGAATTGATTTGTATATACTATTGCAATTAAGTGTTTTCTATTGAAAGTCATATAAAGAATGCATATTTATTTATGTCCAGTTGTTAGGAGAAGTCTAGCAAAATATGTCACAGCATATATATTACTTGTGGCACTTGCTTTGCACTTGCTACTCAAGCATTCAATACTGGATAATTGAAGCCCCTCTTCGCATGTGAAACGAAGGCCCATGAAGGTAAAGGGACTTATCAGAAGAGGCTACACCAAAATTAGAACCCAGGCCATCAGGTCCAGTACTCCTTCATAATGCACCTGCTTTGCTTACCCAAGAACTCTCAGCATCATGTATTTAATCTAGCAAATAGTTTTGGGCTAGATACTGTGCAAGTCACAGCTATTGTGTTATACACTCTAAACAAACATCACTTATTTCACTATAATTTCCCATCTTTCTGTTGTGTCTCATCAGACAATAGTTCTTTACTTTATCCTGCCCAGAAACCATGTTAATATAAACTGGACTTCTGCCTGGTCAGACGATAAACTATAATCCTCAAATTAAAATGTTACTTTGTTATATATTTTTAACTAAAATGGTCTGGTATAGAATGGAATAGAATATGATAGAAGATTCATAAATCAGCAACGTGATCATTAAGAGGGCTTCTGTCCCACATAACTGAAACTGTTTTGATGTGAAGAAAATGCCAGTTTTATGACTTTTTGTGTCCTTTGAACATTGTGATAAATAGTACTGGCTATGTGTTTGATCACAATGACATTATATGTTTTCTGACCTCAAGGAGTTCAGTTCACTGAAATACTCGTATTCATTGAATATTGGGAAACAATGTTTACTTATAAAATACGTGGATTGTTAAGTTAGTAAGTTAGGTATACTAAGTAAATAGGCACTAAGTCATAATTGTAGGCACTGAACCATAACTTTTATGCAGGCAGAAACCATGTTTGTCTCATTTACCACTCTGGAATTTAGCATGATGTTTGATACAGAGCAGGTGAGCTTAATAAACGTTTTTTTTCTTTTTTAAAGATTTTATTGGGGAACTGGGGAAAGGAACAGTGTTGGGGAATTGGGGAAGGGAACATTGTGTTTTTCCAGGACCCATCAGCTCCAAGTCAAGTTGTTGTCCTTCAATCTTAGTTGTGGAGAGCACAGCTCAACTCCAAGTCCAGTTGCCGTTTTCAATCTAGTTGCAGAGGGGCACAGCCCACCATCCCATGTGGGAATTGAACCAGCAACCTTGTTGTTAAGAGCACACGCTCTCACCAGCTGAGCCATCTTGCTGCCTGTTGGCAGCTCAGCAGCATGTCAGCTCGGGCGCAGCTCACTGGTTTGTGTGGGAATCGAACCGGCAACCCTGTTGCTCAGAGCTCGCACTCTTAACCAACTGATTCACTCAGCTGGCCCAATAAATATTTCTTAAAGGAGGAATTGAATAAATATGTGGGCAGCTGCCCGTTATAGTTAGTAAACTGAAGGACTTCAAAGAAGAGAGAGAGGGAGGGGGGAGAGTTGAGATTGAAGACCGAAAGCTGGAATGATCAGAAAAGGCGTAAGGCCAGGTAAAGCTTATTAAAAATGGTTACCTTGGTGATAGAATCACATTGATCTAAAACGTTCTTCTTATGTTTTTGTATTTGAAAGGTTTTAATGTCAAAAGTATTTAAAATACTAATAAAGTTTATTATCTTTAAGAATACTGGCCCTGGACGAGAGCTGTAAGGATGAGTGGGGTGTGGACCAAGGAGGGGAAAGAGAGAATTTCAGGAGGGATGCGTGGCAGCAGTTAAATTACAGAAATGGAAAAGTGCAAGTATGTTTGGAAGGCTGGCTGGAGGGTAAGTCAGGTAAGCTTAGATGGGGCAATTAGGGGACTGGAATCTGCCTTAGGCGTGCTAGAGGTACCATCTGTGCAGATCCATTTCAGGACCTAAGATAAGTCCTGCTTCTCTACAAGTTATCCTTAGCTACTGACTCATTTGTGAAAAAATATGGAGATCAATTTTAATAATTTAAATCTCTCATCCTCATAAAATGGATACTTCTTTTAGATTGTATGCTTGGTATGAGCCAATTCCATTTTAACACAAATAGAGAATTTGAGAGCAGATGCTGATATTTATATAGGCCAAGAAAACATGGAAACAAAGAACACATGAAGGCATTGATGGGTAGGGTAAAAATTCAAAACGGGATCACATACAGATTGTCTTCTTCATGGTCTCCTGTCCTGAGACCTTGGGAGCAGCGAAGGCCAGCAGTGGTGGGAATGGAAGGTGTCTTGGAAGGACGCATGAGTTCTTTTCATACTTAGGTTCCCCAGAGATTCACCTGCTTCAACTCACTCCAATTACTTCATTGTGGGCTTTGACCTTGCTTGGGGTGACCGCAAGAACTCAGGCTCTGTACCTGGGTATAGCCCTGACTACAGAGACAGCTCTGATGCTTACCTTGTTTTATGATAGTGGTGAGACTCTGTAACATCTCTGAGCCTCAGTCTCTCCATTTCTAATAAAAGGGCATACCTTTCGTTGGTAGGATTTTATCTGGGTGAAATGATACAGCTGGAAGTGTGTAACACATGGTCATTAGTATGTCCCTTTTCCCCTTCTGAGGGTAGCCTCCATTTCACCTTGAAGATTTTTATTTTATTATTATTTTTTTACTTTCCTGCTTCAGCTTATTGAGAATTTATGACCCTTAAAAAGATCATTTACAGACTGGAGCCCATAAAAATGTGCGTTTTAAACAATATACGTTAGGAAATATCAATCACTTGATGTTCTAACAAACAACAATCAGAAATACTCTGTGACAAAGCACTTCTCCCGTTTGCTAGGCAACAATCTATTATGTTTCACATTTACATTCAGTACAAATAGACGTGTTACTTCTTGGTGCAATTACTGATTGCTGCAAACCAGGATTTATGGTCCTTCTGTTCTCTGCGCATTGAGTT